ATATGAATTGAAATATTTTTTTTTTTGATAACAAAAAAAATTATTTCTAGGGAAAAGGTTTTGATCGTCGTGATCATGTTTTAGCATGTTTTGGTGGTGCTGGTGGTCAACATGCTTGTGCAGTATGTTGAAATTAATTTTAAATTTTATATTAAAAAAAATATTTATATTTAGATTGCACGAGCTTTAGGCATGAAAACTGTTTTTATTAGTCGGTTAGTAGTTGTTTTGTTCATAATGTTTTATTAATATGAATTTTTATAATATAGCTTTGCTGGTGTTCTTTCGGCATTAGGTTTAGCATTAGCTGATGTTGTTCATGAAATGCAAGAACCATCTGGAAAAGTAATTAATTCTGATAATTGGTCAAATATTCTTGATCGATTAAATTATCTTTCAAAATATGGAACAGATGAACTTGTTAAACAAGAATATGATCGGTTTGTTATATTGAATATTTTAATTGAAATTGTATTCATGTGAATTTTTTTTTTTTTTCTTAGAAAATCTATTATTGTAGAAAAATATTTAAATCTACGATATGAAGGAACTGATTGTGCACTTATGTGTACAAGTAATGGAGATGTAGCTGAATCATTTATAGATATTTTTGTTAAAAAATATAAAGAACAATTTGGTTTTATACTTCCGGATCGTCCAATTATTGTTGATGATATTCGAATTCGTGCATTAGCAAAATCAGCAATGAGTATTGATCGTAAAATTGATGTTCGATCAAAAGATAAACCTTTGAAAGAATTAAAAGTAAATTAAATTTTTAACAAAATCTGTTAGATAAAATGAAAATCTTTTTATTTGAAAAGTCATTTACTAGTTAAGAGATATTATGACTCAGTATGTTCTCTAACTACTCGAGAGAAAATCTTATTTTGGGTTAATTCTATAGAGTTTTATCTGATCTTCAAATCTTGTGTATCTGGTAATTCTCACACTAGATTTATTGGTATACCAATCCTTTGTTTCTCCAATTTTTAGCTTTTATGATGTTTTGAATTCTTTGATATTGTTCCAACTTCTATAAATATACTATTGGTTGTACTCTGAATCGAGGTTCATCATAGTCAAAATGGTCAATCGACAAGGATTATGCAAATGTTTCACTTTCATAAAAGACTAAATGCATATGGAATCTAATGAAACTCCATAGTCTAATCATTCCCAACATCTCAGAATCTAAATTCATAAAAAATAATTGGGTTTTTTAAGGTACTTCATTGACCAATTTGATTATGATGACACACAAGTTATGAAAAACTTGCATGTCTGATTGCTCTTGTGTTTTACACTAAGAAAGCTATTATGAAAATTATTATATAAAAGTCTATTGAAGTTTTGATGTGTCACAAGTTACTTTACAAAATGATATGAATGACTTTTCAAATAATGAGTGGTCATCTTATCCGAGAATTCTTTTCTTTTTATAGAAAGTAAAATGTTATTTCGAGCAAGGTTTTTTTGATACACCTGTTTATCTTATTGAAGAATTATATGCTCATGATGATATATCTGGTCCAGCAATTATTATTGATCCTAGTTGGTAAATTTTCTTTTCAAATAAAAAAAAAAACATATTTTTTTCACAATCTCTATTATTTTATTTCTAATAATAGTACAATTGTTGTTGAACCAAATTGTGAAGCTAAAATAACAGATTGTGGTGATATTCGTATAGCTATTCAACATATTAAAGAAGATACGAATTCAACTGAACTTGATCTTATTAGATTATCAATATTTCAAAATCGTTTTATGAGTATTGCAGAACAATGTGGTCGGTAAGATATATTTTAATATAAAAATAAGTAAAATAATACTTTTATGTTTGATATTTAGTGTTCTTCAATTAACTGCTATTTCGACAAATATTAAAGAACGTTTAGATTTTAGTTGTGCTATGTTTGGAGATGATGGTGGTTTAGTTGCCAATGCTCCTCATATACCAGTACATCTTGGAGCTATGCAAGATGCCGTACAATATCAAGTACAGAATAAATAAATATATAATAATAATATTATTAAATTCGAATTTCTAGATGCGTGCTATTGGTAAAGATCTTCGTGATGGAGATGTAATTTTAAGCAATCATCCGTCAGCTGGAGGTAATGAGAAAGAAAACGAAAATATGAGAATTTTGATAAATAAATTTGTTTTAGGAAGTCATTTACCAGATTTAACTGTTATTACACCAGTAAGATTTATAGTATAAATTATTTTAAATCTGAATAAATAATTTAACTTTTAAGGTATTTCATGAATCTGATAAAACTAAACCAGTATTTTTTGTTGCAAGTCGTGGTCATCATGCTGATATTGGTGGTTTAACTCCAGGTTCAATGCCTCCAAATTCGACATCTTTATTTGAAGAAGGTGCACAATTTCTTTCATTTAAAATTGTTGAACAAGGACAATTTAAAGAGAAAGGTACAAATAAAATTATATAAATAAAATATATTTTGTTTTTATTCTAGAACTCATAGAAAAATTAAATGAACCAGGAAAACAAGAAAATTGTTCAGCAACTCGAACATTAATGCATAATATTGCTGATTTAAAAGCACAAATAGCTGCTAATCTAAAAGTAATTTTTTTTTAATAAAAAAAAAAAAACTTATTTTTAATGAATAATTATCTATAATTTAATATTAGGGTGTTAAATTAGTTCAAGAATTAATTGATATTTATAGTCTTAAAGTAGTTCAAGCTTATATGAGATATATTCAAGTTTGTTTAAAGAATTTTATGTTTTTCTTTTTTTTATTTATATATCAAATAAAATATTTAGGATAATGCTGAAACAGCTGTAAAAGATTTACTTAAAAGTGTATTACATTCTTTTTCTGAAAAAGAACATAAACATCAAGATAACATTAAATTACATGCTGTTGATTATATGGATGATGGATCAAAAATTTGTTTATGTATTGACATAGACGGGCAACAAGTAAGAAGAGAAAAACAAACGATTTTGTATTTTGTTGTTCTTGCTTTCTTTTTTAAAATAAAGTCTAAAGCTAAATTTGATTTTACGGGTACAAGTGAACAAGTATGGTATAATTGGAATGCACCACGTTCAATTACTAATTCAGCTATTATTTATTGTCTTCGAGCTATGATTGCACATGAAATACCATTAAATAATGTAGATTAATTTTAGTCTTGATAAGTTGTTAAAAAAAATGTTTTTCTTTTTTGAAGGGATGTATGAGACCAATTGAAGTTATTCTTCCACCAGGTTCACTTCTTAATCCACATAAGGATGCTGCTGTTGTCGGTAAGTACAAAGAAATATTATAAGATTGAAATAATGTTTTCCTTCTTCATAGGTGGTAATGTTTTAACTAGTCAACGTTTAGTTGATGTTATTCTTCATGCATTTGGTGCTTGTGCTGCATCACAAGTAATATTTAAGTAAAGAAATAATTCAAAAAATTAAATAGATTATTGCTAGGGTTGTATGAATAATATCACTTGGGGTGATAATAAAGCAACCAGTTATTATGAAACAGTTGCTGGTGGAGCTGGTGCTGTATGTAGCTTGTATTTTTGAAAATAATTGAAATTCGAAGATTGTTTTCTTGTTTTTGATAGGGACCCAATTGGCATGGACGTTCAGGTGTTCATACGCATATGACTAATACTCGAATAACTGATCCTGAAATTCTTGAAAAACGGTAAATAAACATTTCAAATCATATTTATTTTAATGTTCTATTAAAGTTTTCCTGTTGTTTTACAAAAATTTTGTCTTCGTCCATTTTCTGGTGGTCAAGGAAAATATCGTGGTGGTGATGGTGTTGATCGACGAATATTATTTCGTCGTACGATGACATTATCAATGTTAACTGACCGACGTGTACATCATCCTTATGGATTGTGTGGTGGTGAAAATGGTCAATGTGGAAAGAATTTATTAAAACGTGTCGATGGACGATTAATAAATTTAGGTGGAAAATGTTCAGTACCAATGGAACCTGGTGTAAGTTATGTTATAATTGAATACTAAATAAAATAAATGATTTATTTGAATTTAGGATACATTTATTTTACTTACACCTGGTGGTGGTGGTTTTGGAAAAGTAAATGATGAAGAAGATAAGAATTCTGAACAAACAGAATTTCAATCATTTATTGAACGTGGAAGTTTATTTGATTATAAACTTACTCAAGAAGGAGTTTAAGATGATTTTATTATCAATATTTTTCTTTTGTTTTCAAGTAATTTTTTAACGTATTGATATTAAGACATGAAAATAATTTTTAGTTTATTTTAAAAAAGTTTTACGCAAGCAGAAGATATTGATTTACATATGAAATTAAGTTTTTATTGTTTTTTTGTTTGTAATAGTTAATGATAGTTCAACATATTATTTGATCATATAACTTTAAGTTTTAATAACATAATATTAAAATAAAAGATGATTCAAGGAACTAAAAAAAAACATTTCATAAATGACAAAACAGTCGATTGTTATAAGTCTACTAGAATGACTTTTAAAAACATTTCCTTTTTATTTCACGTTCAGACATTCATTCATGAAATTCTTTTAAATTTTTGTCATGGCACTAGAGATCAACTTTGAATATTTTTGCCTTTAGAAATAAAATATGTTTCTACTTATGTAAGCAAGCTAAATTTGATAGTAGTATTCATTTGATTTCTCCAGCTATATTTTAATGCTTTTGCTTGTATAAATGTCAATAGTCTTCTTTTCTTTTTTGTATGCTTTTCATTATACATTTATTGATTCGTTGATGCTCGAAGTAACATAAATAATACCTTCACAGACACTTATAGGCAAATGAATGAGTATTCACATAGGAATAAGAAAATCTCAAAAAAAAAATAATTCATCACTTTATAATTGGAATTATTTATGAAATTATTTATTCGTAACATGGAGTAAGGATGAGACGAATAATGTTGCTTCTTTGTCTCGTTCATCTTACCACTTCTCTACATACAAAACGTACATATGTGATGCAAAAAGATTTTATTAATGGATTCAAAACTGGTGAATTTTCGATCTACAATCAAGAAACAAATACTCGTGCATATCGAATCGAGTCTCATATGTATCTTTTTAAACCTGAACGCATTGATCTTATTGCGTATCGACCAATGCAAGTTGTAGGCAAGCTGACGACCAAATTGAAACGTCGATGGCGTGAAGTAACATTTGAAGTGCTTGATAGCCAAACTCAACAGTGGAAGGTGGGCAAGTTTATTCAAAATTATATTGGATGGTACAGAGATAGTATTGACATTGACTGGGGTGGATTCCCATTAAAATGCGAGATCGCTGCGAATCGATTGGCAGGACGATTTCTAACTGATAATAATACTATTCTCTTGGCCGAATTCAAACGAGGATCACAGCACACTTTTAATGCAAGTAACTACAAGGTGGAAATATATTCCGATGACGTTCCAGATGCCATTTATCTACTTTATGTTGCCAATTTCGATGAAATCATTACACGTAGAGATCGTAACAGATATCCTATTAATGGTCAATGGTGAATAGTTACATATATTTAGGTGTGGGCGGGTGTCTCTTCTTTTGACACCCATACCCACAACAAGAACATATTTTGTTTGATTTTTTTTCTAACTATGCATATGATGTCATGTTGATAACATGAATGAAATCAGTAGAAACATAGTTTTAATTGCGGTAACTGTTGAACAACGGTTTCTACTTACCGAAAATATTGCTAATCATTTACCAGTGGTTGAACTAAAATACTGAATAGATATTGCAATAATTTAAGAACTAACTAATTGCAGTTATAGGCTGTAGTCATGTCATGTACAAAATTCACTATATCATCACTCACAATCTTATTCGAGTGATTTTTGACTTGTATTCATTAGCAATATGTGTATAGTAAAAAGAAACTTTTGCTTGCTTATAGTATATTAACTGCTCTTTTTTGATTAATTTGTACGATTCATAAAGAAATAATATTCAAATTTTGTTTGTTCACATTTACGATTCCTATAATTCTCACTTTCGTCCCAATAAAAACGAAAAAACTTCTGTCCTATACCAACATGTACCACTATTGTATGTATGTGGAAACAGAACAAATAATGATGAAGATATTGAAAACATGAATCTTTCTTTCTTAATTCCAAATTAATGAAAACAAAACACTATGTCTTTCTTCAAACATCCAAGTTGGTCCGCAAATAACAAACATTGGTCAAAATACAACTATGTCAGACAAGATACATCGACAAACAAGTACATGAACAGCAAAACAATTTTTATTATTGGTGTCATAGACTTTTTTGTTTTCAATGTGTTGTTTCAACAGAAATATATGAAACTCTCGATTGGCTTAAACTATATGTACAAAAACTTCAATGTTTTTAAGAGAAAACCTCGAAATTGTTCGATGATACAAATTGCAAAATCCTTGTACATCAAATTCTGCAACTATTCAGCATAAAAAAATGAAAACCTTTCTTTCGTCACGTGGAAGCAAAACAAGTTTTGTACGTTAATACTGAACTCTTGAGATTTAGTAAAACATCATTTTTATTTTAAGTATCGTGAACGAAGAAACATGGAAGATTAAGTTATAAGCCGTAACAAAGATTTTTATTCATGAATATTGCTCGCATATCAATTATAAGATGATGTTCAAAATGATAACTTGGTTCGATGATACGATAGAACATATTTGATCATCCATAGCATCAAAAGTTTTCAGATAGTTGATTGAATAATTCATAAGATAATCAGCTATTAACTAATTCAGTGTTGTTGTCATGGTAATTGAGCTTCTTGACATTACATTTTTGCATTTGAGAAGAACGTTCCTCACGTATTTGAGAGCGATTGATTGCTTGAGTCTTTTCGTTTTGTTAGTCAACCTTCATCGAACTAATCTGTATCTGTACCTTAAAAAGACATTGCGGAACAATATCTTTTGAGCGAGGGAAACTGGGTTGTTTTTCGGCTTTTTTACACATAGTTACATTCTATTCACCTTGATGAATCCAATGGTGTACTTGGAGTCGATTTTGATAGAGCTTGAACCCAAATACCTTCCATATCGTAAGGTCTTTGGGCATCTACATCACTTTAAAGATAACAGGATATTGTGACAGTATTTTTTCTTTATTTTTCGCGAAAATGAAAACATTTAGAGAGCTGATTACTTTACAGTGCGAAGAATGAATCGAGAGAAAAAGGCGTGGAACTTTGCAATGTAATGAGAACAAAAATTGCTTTGACATTTGAAGGACTCAAACTGATCCTTTTAAACATTTGTCAACAAATAACTTAATAGAATCGCTCAGAGACTGAAAAACGATCTATACGATAACTATCGAACGAACCACTCACCATGGAATGAAAGTTCCAAAACTGACAGGAGTGACATGGACGGATTAAGAAAAAAGATTTGTTTCGATTGCTTTACATGAACATGAGTTAGTGTTCGAAAGCTTTCAGAAAAACAACGGAATTGTTAGCATGAAATGCACACATATATTTTATTGTAACAAAGCACACACAATTGACAATGTTCTTTTCCGTTTAATTGGCATTTGATTAAGATGCATAGATTACATGTTGATGCTAGCGACATAAAGTAGAAAAACAGGATCTGGAACATCATCAGAGTGTACATGTAGATCATAGGTCAAGGGCGCATGTTTTCCTAACCGTCGACTTTGAAATTCAGCCATGATGGTATCACGATCATTTATCAGGGTTCCATACCACATGTACCCAGGAATTACGTGTTTTATAGGTGGTCCATCCCATTCGATATCTATTTGATGTGGCGACCAAAACTTAAAATGTCGAATAAGCTTTCCCATCTTCCACTGTCGAGTTTGATTGTCCAACACTTCAAATGTTGCTTCGCGCCATATCTTTTCCCCTTTGACCATGAGCTTGCCTACGACTTCTTTTGATGGAGACGCTATAATTTCAAAGTGTCTCCCGTCAGAACCAAAAGAAGATTTGATTTCATATGCAAGAGTATCTGTTAGACCATTATAGACCAAAAATTCACCGCTTCTCAAAATGTTGGAATTGCCCTTTTCCAAAAAATAAGCACGTCTTGTATGTAGAGTAACGACGAGATGAACGAGACAAAGAAGCAACACTAGTTGTTTCATTTTTATTCCGTCTGACAAACAAATAATTTCATGAATAATTTTAAGTACAAAGTGATGAATTGTTTTTCTTTAGGTTTTATTCTTGTTATATCAATCTTATCTCATTGGTTTACGAGCGTTTGTGCAATTAGTATTTATTTTGCTTCTAGGCACAACACATCAATAAATATATAATGAAAAGCATACATAAAAGAAAAGAATATTGTCACTTATAAAGACTATGTACTATTTCGTGTGTACGACAGAAGCATCATTTGAAAATACTTCTTTATGATAATCAAATACTCAACAACTTTGAAGCGTTAAAATATAATTCAAGGAATCAAATGAATATGACCATCGAATTTAATTTACTTTGAAAAGCAGTACAGTGTATCATGCCGAAAAGTGACATATTTAAGGCCGATATCCAGTTTCATAAAGCCAATTAAAAAGAATTTGTGACAAGTCTTTCTTTTTACGTAGGATCTAGTAGGTTTAGATTCGATTTCTTTTAGGACCAATTCATTCATGAAATTATTTCCATACTAATTCGATATATTCCCAGTAGAACTCGACGAGCTGCATACAATAATGAAAACCATTTCTCGATATCAAGTTTTGCTCTTGAAAAAACACTTCTTAATTGATTCAATTTATCCTATTCCGCATTACTCCTTGAATACAGTGACGGTTTCTCGTCAACACACCCCTGTGTCGAGATCAGGCTTCCAACATATCATAGACCTTTTCAGGCGGTACTTGATTGCATATTACAATACAACAACGAAAAGCATTTGCACCTGATATTTTAATCTAGAGAAAAATAACTATGCAGTTTTTTCAAAATCAATTTGTATTTCTATCAAAAGAACTTTTAGGATATCTTCACAACTGATCATTAGCTTTAGAGTGAGGAGGTAATTCCCAGTGAAAAATGACAAGATTATGTAAGATTATAACCAGATTTTTGTGCAACAAAGTCCAAATTATAATCGATTGAAATCTTCTAAATCAACTATAATTTGATTTTTAATCAAAAATAATCTCCTAAATCAAGTATAATTTTGATTAAAAATCAAATTATAGTTGATTTAGAAGATTTCAATCGATCATAATTTGGATTTTGTTGCACAAAAATCCGGTTATAATCTTACATAATCTGATATAATTTGACATTTTTTCACTGGGCTGTTGGCCTTACCTCTGCCATCATTCATGTTGTATCTCGATTAAGTAAAGAGTGGTCAGAATCAATATCGGGTATCCGTGTTGTGTGTGTGTGGATTTTGGGTGTACGGGTGTGAATCTTCTCTGGACAAAGATTTACGCCCACACAAACTCTTTGTCTGTTTTCGGCATGACACTTTCGAGTACAAAAGATCTCTTTCTTTATATTTGTGAAAAACTGCTCCCAAAACAAAACCACATTTTTTGGACAGTATAGTTCTAGCAACTTGACTGTTGGGGAATATGAGCGTGTCCATGGAAGGTGCTATTCCGTCACGCTCTGTTTATGGTAAATGAGAAGTCGTGGACAGCTTTGCAATTTCTCATTTTGAACAGCACAATTTTTTGTTGAAAACTGCAAAAGCATTTGATCTTAAACATTGAATCGTTTGTACGTAATGAAACAAACAAACCGTGACGAAATAAGCTTTTGCGTGGACAGGCTCATATCAGTTCTTATGAAAGAGAATTTTTGTACATTTTGCTGAAAGGATATCGCTTGTTCGAACAGTTCTCTCGCCTCTTTAGTCTAAACTTTAACTTATGAGTTCGTTCATCTTTAGTCTATACATACATTCTATTCGATACCCATAGTTACACAATCGAAGCCACATCGATACTTACTTCTGGAGTTGGCCTACAACTCGACCATATCGTCCACACTCACAGTTCATTTCGCAACATCAACTATACACTCATCACTACAACCAATACCCACACCTGAATATACGTCTCTAACCTCAGGCACAGCGATGACATACACACAACAAAATCCAAGAGAAAACTCACAAATACAACCACATCCAGATACATGCCCATGCCAGTTCTCATCCACGTCTCGACACTCATATTACACTCATATCCTATTCGAGAGCAGCAGTCACACATTTATCTCCACAGCCGACATTTACAACCACACATTCATATTTGCATTCGCTTAAAGAAAAAGCTTTCAGGGCAGATTCTTTAGCACTCAAATGCGGAGACATTTTACACACTGAGTTATAGCATGAAAAATCTTTTTATTTTCCTCGTGAACATTCCGGTGGCTATGTGATCGTAGTCTCTAAGTGTTTTTGACGTTTACTTTTTGCGTATAAAATAGGTTAGTCTTGTATTTATTAGTATCGTCTCGGAATTCTTTCTAAATCCGGGTAACGATGAAAATATTG